CTAATATGTGCTTCTAATTCAAATAAAGAGCCTTCTTTACTCACAGTGCACAGTGCATGTGGCTGACACATTTTATGTGGAAATTTGTCGGTTTCTGATAACCTTCTGTAAAGACGTTTTCATGGGTTCTAAACCTCTTGGGGCTCTTTCTGTCTCAAGTTCAAGTTACTTAGATAGTGATTAAGGATGTTTTATAGGCCCTTGTGGTAAATGATAGCATGCAGAAAAAGCATTCCTTGGCCGTGTAATTTAGGAAGACTTAATCTGTTTGGGTTTTCATCCACTGGGCTTGCTGAAAACTTTAAAATGACTAACCTGGGGGCGCCTGGGTGGCTCAGTCGTTAAGCGTCTGCCTTCGGCTCAGGTCATGATCCCAGGGTCCTGGGATCGAGCCCCGCATCGGGCTCCCTGCTCGGCGGGAAGCCTGCTTCTCCCTCTCCCACTCCCCCTGCTTGTGTTCCCTCTCTTGCTGTGTCTCTCTCTGTCAAATAAATAAATAAAATCTTAAAAAAAAAAATAAAATAAAATGACTAACCTATTTCTCTGCAGCCTCCAGAGGCTCCAAAATTTGCATCAAGGGGCCTGAGTTCAGTGATTACCCAGCTCAGGTTGCCCTTTTTATTTAAAGGACCCTTCATGTCAGTCCAGCTGCTTTTTTCTTGGGACGACAGACTCTAGATACCGTATTTTTTACTTTGCAGTATTTATAAAATAGCATAAATCAATGAGACCAAAGAGCAAAAGGCAGTCGTTTACTTAACTTAGTTTATTTAAAAATTTTCCCAGCTCGGTATTCAGCAACTAAGAATCTAGTGAACTTCACAACACCCAGCTATGTCAACTGAAATCTCCAGACTCTGTACAAAAGATCCCAAACCACAGGCGTGGCCCCTCCCGAAGAAAGGAGTACAGGGTGACCTGATGGGACAGATGGGGCTTGCCCTCAGCCAAATGTCATCACCCAATCACACAGTCCTAAAAGGATTGCGTTCAGTCGCTTTAGGAAAGTAGGCTCTGCGCAAGAGGAACTTGGGAATCCACTGGGTCCTAAGGTTTTTCTTACTGGAGGAAAGCTCCAAAGTAAGGCAGACAGATGATGGTTTCCCGGCAACACAATGATTTTGCCTTTTCAGGAAAATGGAGGCCTTGCCTGCTCTCTGTCCACAGAGTCATCGGAACGGAGTCTGTTAACAAGCTTTCTCCTATCCCGGAGAAACTTCTCCAGAGAATTTGCCAAGCACCTCCCTAGGGCTGTTTATGTGTCTGTGTCATCATCCGTTCTCGCCTTCTGTATGTGGCACCCAAAGTCCTTTTTTTCCGGAATGTAGGTCAGGCTGCTTATTTAAAAATGACAGGGAGAGAGCCAGAAAGGCCACGCCAAATTTGGAACTGAGGGAGGGCTTTGTGATTTATAGGGTACCCAGGGTGGATACGGGTGGTTTCTGGGAGTCCACAGTGGAAGTTTACCTTAAAAAAAAAAAAAAAAAAAAGAGAGAGAGAGGCTTATATACATGCCTTACAGAACCCTCAGAAGAATCAATGCTTGTAATGAATGGAACTCATAGAATATATTTTTTTAAGATTTTATTTATTTATTTGACAGAGAGAGACAGCTCAAAAGGGAACACAAGCAAGGGGAGTGGGAGATGGAGAAGCAGACTCCCTGCTGAGCAGGGAGCCCCACCGGGGCTCGATCCCAGGACCCCGGGATCATGACCTGAGCCGAAGGCAGACGTTTAACGACCGAGCCATCCAGGTGCCCCAGAATATTCTAAACCAAGTAGAATTTAGTGCCTCATTATTTAGGCCCAGAGAATCTATTTCACACATCTCCTGGCCAACTCAGAAGCAGTTCAATACAAATATCTAAAGGGAGGATCTAGATTTCTTGGCATGTATAATAAAGATCTTCCACTTGAATACATGGATGCAGTTTGGTCTCACTGGGGGGCTGAGTCGAGTATTAGCAGAGTTTTGCTTTTTTCCCAAGCTGCACCATGCTTGCTTGCCTGAGTTTGCTTGAGTCTCGGTGGGCTTCGGTTTCTTGCCCTAGTGAAAGTCCTGTTGTTATAATTCCAGGGGAGGGAGAGGAAGGAGATAAAGGGCAGCCCCACAGCGGGCCTGGTCAATCTTCTTATCAAGGTCACTCAGCTATCCGTGTCTCAGAGGGATTTCCAGGCCCGAAGTAATTCTTTCATGTTTGTTTTACAATATAGTGGCATTTCCTCAGGTCCCCAGAAAATATGTACTTTCCACAGAGACCAACTCTGTCCAATGTCAAGTACGAGTATGAGCTGTACCCAACCGGCACATCTTTTTTTTTTTTTTTCCCTTACCACTTGCTGTTTGGTGAGAAATCATTTCTTTTCACTCACGCAGAAGTCCGGAGATATGCCATCTAGAGCTGCCCTCTTTTCTACTTTTCTGACGTGCCCTGTCCAAGGGGTGTCCTCGATTGCCCCTCTCTCTGGATGGTTGCAAGACCTTCAGCTACAGAGTTTGAGGTCTAGGGCAGAAGGATGGATGAAGGGAGTCAAGGGGCATATGCCAACTAACTCAGACCCAGGGAAGGGGCTTTCTTAAAGGTCACATCCAGAGAACTCTGCTATTATCTCATGGGCCGGATCCACACCAGTTGAATGACCCCCCACCCTACCTGCCACCCCCTGGCTGCAAGGGAGACTGAGAAGCTTAGTTGTTATATATATATATACATATTTTTTTTTTCTGGCACATTTTTGTCCCAATAGTTAAGAAGAAGCAAAGACTGAGATATTTGATGATATGGAAATTAAAAATATCCACCCCACTGTTTTGTTGTGGGGACAAAGTGTAAGTGTGCAAAGCACCCAAGGGTGTTTGATGGGCGGGGGGTACGTGAAATAGCGTTTCCTTCTCTCTCCTGGTGCTCCCTCCCTCTTCGAGGGCCCGGTTCACAGGCAGAGTACACAGTGGAGAACGCCCTGTTGCCACGATGTTTTTCCCATCTAATTAAGTCCCACTGAAGAATTTCATCTTTAGGGAGAAAAATAGCTGCCACCAGAAAGAAAAGAAATATTCGGCCTCCTTCTCATCATGGACTGCGCGTTTGAAACTAGAAATGCCGTTTTGCGGGGAGCCTTCTTGCAGAGCTTGCAGAAGTAAAACTGTTAATTCAGATCTAGCTGTTCTACAAGCTGTTAAAAACCCATAAAAACACTTTATAATTCTGCCTACGTTCTGATTCTGTGAGGTAGCAGTCCCATTTTTGCGTGCCCCGTACCCAGTGCTGAGCACGTCGACAAGAGTTTACACTAAACTGAAATATAGGCAAATGCACACAATTTCTGCATTACTTTAAGATCTTTATTATTAACTCATCGGGGGTGTCAAAGTATGTTATAAATCTAAACAGAAAATTAGAAATAAATGTGACATGGGAACACAGCTTTTACACTCTACTCAGGGTAAGAGAATTTGCTGGTGGGAGCACATACCACAGGGAAATGTAATTATTGGACGTTGACACTTCTATTCTGATATTAACTAACAAAACCGGAATCATGGATTGACAGAGTCCAGGAAGCAAAGCAAAGTGAAATGAAACTAGACGTGTGTGAAACAAACTTAGAAAGTCGGGGGGAGAGCATCTGGGTTCGTTGTAGTGCTGGTTGATTTCTACTTGGTAGATTGTGGTACTCTAATTTAGCTGAGTAATTGCCACTACAAAATCCAAATCTACAATGCATGTGTAATTTTAAAAACGGGTTTTGCATTTCTGAAGCCAGACAGAAAAATAATTGCATTCTTCAGATCCCCGATATTAAGCTTCAAGACAGTTTTACAACCTGGGACCTGAACAAATCTCTTATCCATAAAACAACAGGAATAAAAGATTTGCACACGTGCATTTAAAAAAGTAACCTCACTGCTCATGGTCAAAAGAAACAAGGAAAGGAAGGAAGGGAAAAAAAAGAAAAACAGTTTACATACCTACATATTTTACTTTGATTGGTAATCGCAGCCTGTATGATTCAGTTCAATTTACTTGTAAGCTTTAATTTAAATGGGGGTGGGGAGCTTTTCCAGAAACAGCAAAAACGATTTGTGTGTACATGCATTTAAATAAAATAAACAAAGGAAAAACTGTGGCATATACGTAATGAGTAAAGAAACATAATTCTGAATGAAGCTAATAATTGTTCAATTTATAAAGCTGAAAGTACCTTTACTCATAGGGAATTGCGCTTCAAGTAATCATGATTAACATCTTTTAATGCAGAAATAGAGCATACAAATTTACTTCCTAAAATTTAAGCAATTCCATAACACTTATCTGTTTAATAATGTGAATAAAAATCACCTTATAGTTCACAAAATCCATTTAAATGATCATTCCAATTTCAAAGGGAGAGTTGCTGAAAAATCTAGAATTCAAGTCATTTGTGTCTCGTAAAGTGACCAAGACAGGAAACATACATAACTGCTTCTGGACACAAATAAATGTCTTTCCCCTTGCTGTCTCCCCACGCCTCCCCCTCCTCAAAACAAAACAAAACAAAACAAAAACCGGTTCCATCCCTTACATAGCCGGCAAAGGCTGCCGCAGTCTTTCAGGACAGAGCACGGGTTTTCACTCCAACGGTCTGAGAATGTTTCCCACTGCCATCTATTCCCTCATATCCCATCTCTGTGATCCAATTTCTTCATGTTGTCTTTGGAGAAGATGGGGGGGTGGGCAGAGGAAGCCCCCTTGCTGGAGATACTAGAAATGTCATTGTTGCCTTATTTCTGCTCTTCCATATAAAGCCATTCGCTGCAGTCACCCAGGGCATTTGAGAGAGAAATACTGTTCTGAATAACGTCAACTTCTCTTCTGCCTTATGAGTTAGAAAAAACAAAATACAGCTCCTAGCGTTTGCTGATCCTTACCTGCGCAAGTGGCAGGGTGTCTATTTCTTACAGTCTCTACCTCTTTCTGCCGATACCAAGAGACTATGAGGGGCAGACATCAAACCTCCCAGGTGATTTCAGTTAAATATCTCAATGTTATAATCTACTGCATGCATATCTTGCATATCTTGGTTAGATGACATAATGTTTTCCTAGGAAACTGCTATCAATGTTGATACATTTAAAAATTTGTTACTCATGCTGGCTGCCTGTCTTCCTATTTTTATTTATGTCAGTATCCTACCTTTGTTCTCCATCACTGAATATGACACCTCCAATTGAAGATGCAAGTGTGTGATATAAGACAAGGAGATGAAATTTAAATTAATCAGTTAGGCTCTTAATAGCATCCCTAATACCAAATTTGCTAGCACACAAAAAAAATAAATAAATAAAAGTTTACACAATTGGATACTATGTAATTTTTCGATGATCTTTTACCAGATTTAACCTGCTCTTCTTCTCCCCTATCACCATCGAATGCAGCTATACCATTCCTTAAAAGCCCTGCTTATAACTACTTGCCTTAAGGTGACTGGCTACAGAGTAAAATGATTGCAGGGTAACCCTGGTTATCACAATTTGAACTACATTTGGGATTCTACAGAGATTCTATTTAAAGTCAAGACAGCTTTCTGATAGGGGGCTTCCTTACACTCGTCCGTGGTGGAGGTGGTGGTCTCCTCTGGGTTTTCACAGCTGCTGACAATGGCAACCGCACTAAACGACCTTCTTCTGACCGTGGTGTCTGACGTGCCAGATCCTCGGACTGGAGGGGCTTTGTCCGTGTTGTGGAGCTGCTGGTCTTTCCAGTCCAGTTGTTTGGCACTGCAAAAGGGAGCGTATACCTCAACACTCCCCTCAAACTGTAAGCAGTTCACTTTGTAGTACTTTCTCTTAACTTCCAGGACATCATTAAACCTATGGCCCCAGAGAATTTCTCGGGGAACATAGGAACTTCTGGATTGGTGAGAAGTGCCCGTGGAATCACCAGTATAGATAAATGTCACCAAAATCTCAAAGTTATCTTTGGCCACTGCTTTTCGGTCAAGGGCATACAGAGGGCTCTCGTGGTCAATTTCATGAACAATAGTTACTGGTGTGACAAGGATGATCTGGTCGTTGACCAACTTTAGGTCTTTGAATGCCATCGTCATCCGCCCTTCACTGTCTTCAGCGTAGCGGAGAAGTTGGGCTCTCACTGTGCCTTCTACCACATGGTTTGGCCGGAAATCACCAATGCGCCACATGAGGCAAAGCTTCCCATCTCTCATGCCTATGAGGGCAAAATAGCTAAAGCGAATGGTTTGAGCTCTCTTTCGAGCAGTTGCCATTTTGGCCAAGGCAGCTCCAATGATGAAGGTGTTTATGATGCAGCTCAGGATGGACTGAAGGATCACCATGAGCACTGCCACGGAGCATTCTTCAGTGACACAGCGGTAACCATAACCTATGGTTGTCTGGGTCTCAAGGGAGAATAAAAACGCCCCTGTAAAGGAATGGACGTTGTCAACACAAGGCGTAATGTCTGGATCATTTAACAGATCGCCATGATGAAAGGCAATTAGCCAAAAGATAGAGCCAAATATCAACCAAGAGAGAATATAAGATAAAGAAAATATCACAAACATATGGCGCCACTTGGTATCTACAAGAGTAGTGAAAATGTCAACCACATAACTCCCCCACTCTCCAAAAATGTGCTTGAAGTACACATTGCAGCTACCATCTTTGTGGAGCAGACGTCTTCTGGCTCTTCTCTTCTCAGCTAGGATGTGCTCTGGGGGGTAGCCCGGGTATTTGGGGTTCACGTTTACAATTGGATAGCTGCTGCCGTAATAGCTCATTCTTTCTTCTGTCCTTCAGGCATCCAGGTGGATTTTGTACTGGTAACAGTTCTGTGGCTATTTGTTGATTTAAGTTTTCAGTTAAAACCTGAAAAAAAAGAAAATTATGTATGCTTTAACTTTTAATTTCCATCTTTATAGCAATTTGCCAAATTTGAAGCAATTTTACGCCATCTGAAATGGCAAAGACTTCATTTGAACGACAGAGACATTCAGTATTGATTACTCATTTCAGTTTAGAATTCAACTCAGTCATTATAGGAACAAAATATGCAATTAGAGAAAATAACATTTTTATCTATGCAAAAGGCTTGGGTAAACACTATGATTATCCCAAATGAAGCCTCACTACCTTTTCTGACCTGACATAAACAAAAGTCTTAATTTTATAGACTCTTCTGGCATGAGGGCGCTTAGAACACAAAGCAATCTTTAATGTAGAAAGGCAAAATAGAATTCAGATATTTGTCTAGCAGGGTTATAAGCCTTCTAACTGTTGAAGTCAGATGGTTTTTCTAAGAAGGATGCTAGGAAGCGTCACTACCTTCATCCTGACATGTAACTTACATAGGTTGCCACAGACCCTCCCCTTCGGCCCTTGCCGCGTCCTCTCTCTCTTCCCCCGAGGTTTCTCTTCCTTGTGTATTTCCCAGGACAGAACAGAACTGACCGCGACACTCTCTGGTTCAAGTCCTTTCCCCTAGCTCCTTTAGTTTTAAGAGGGCAAAAAATGTTCTTAACCCCAGAGGAGTTAAAACCACGCCCAGGTAAGCTTTCAATAGGTATAAAATTGCTTTTGCTTTTGTCTCAGGACAACCATCCTTTTTCTTTCTTTCTTTTTTTTTTTTCTGGGCACTGCCATCTCTTCTCTTTCCCTCTGAATAGAAGCCGAAAATTTGCCAAAGTTCTAATCTTGTTTCCCTCTTAAAGGGAGCATACTACAATTGGACTCTGCTCTCCAGCTCTGCAGCATATTCCTGATGCTTTCACGGCCATCCGTAGGCAAAATCATTTTTCCCCCTCCAAATTCGATCTTTAAAAGATCAAGGCAGAACATACAGTTCCTATTGCTTTTATCATCCTTGGAATTGGCCAGTGGTTTTCCCAGCTCAAGTCTGAAAGTAAGTTTTAAAAATTCAATGTTAAATGGTCTTTATTTCTTACTTCTATGCAAAAAAAAAAAAAAAAGTCACTGCAGCCCAATGTAATGGTTTAGTAATTATTAGAATATGCTTTCCACATAACCTGCCTGTGCTAGATGAGGGAAGGGAGGGTAAGGGGAGAAAAGACTTCCCACTAGAGAATCTAGCCAGCGCTGCAAAGACACTACAGTTAAGAGTCAATACTGTTGCTGACATTGAGACCCACCCCCCCCTTGAAACCGACCAAGGAAATTAATCACAAAGTACTTATCCAACACCTTCCCTGAAAAAGGGAGGAAAGAGTTAATTTCCTTCCAGTCAATAGGAATCACTTTTCTTCTTCTCCAGGGATCAAGCCCACTTCACAATAAACACTTTGTTCGGTGGACCACTGCAAGGATGAACTCTGCTTTCAGCAAGAAAATGCTTTAAGGCATGTACGAGTTTCTTTCTGTCCATCCACGCACCCCCAGCCACTCTGCTCACTCATCCTCCAGATTTGCTTTGAGTAGTTACATTCCCTCTTTTGTCCTCAACCAGGTTTTGGGGGAGACGGTTGTATAATTTCAGGATGTGACCCAGGGCTGACAAAATGCTTACCGGAATGCTGAATGTAAAATGTTTCCACAAATTTTGCCCGCAACATACATCATTCTTGTAGGTTCCTGTCCCATTTGTCATTGAATGACACTTGACAAACACAAGAAGCTGCTCAACTTTTCTGGGTCTTCATTCTCTTACCTGATTGTTGCAGGCATGAGAATGGGACCTGTTATAATCCAAGGTCCATATGACTTCAAATTAAAAAAAGTAGATGTGGAGATAGAATTGTTTCCCTGTTAAATGCTTCCAATCACGTTCCTTAAAGGGAACGGCACACACTGTGAGAGTCTGAGAATAAGAAAGCACAGTTCATAAATCAAGAGCTACTGTGTGACTCTGCTCTTTTCTGCTGCCAAAAGAAAAAAGAAAGGTTTTTATTTGAAATGGCATGCAGTGTGAATTCCAGCGGTGCCAACAACGGTTATAAACAAGTCATTTTAAAAACACCTTCAATGGTACATGAACAGACATTTTTCCAAAGAAGACATCCAAATGGCCAACAGACACATGAAAAAGTGCTCAACATCGCTCGGCATCAGGG